GAGAATTTTTAATATTTATTTTTTAGTTCTCGGCGGACACAACATCTTTGTTGGCATGTGGTGCTGAGGATCGAACCCGGGCCACAAGCATGCCAGGCGAGCGCGCTACCGCTTGAGCCACATCCCCAGCCCTAAAAATGGAATTCTTAAGAAATCATCAGTTTTGGTCACAATTATGAAGTTCAATGTTGCATTCAGAATAGTATAAAATAGAGCTGGTGCAGCGGCTTGTGAGGCTGAGGCACAAGGATCGCGAGTTCAAAGCCAGCCTCAGCAACTTAGCAAGGCCCTAAGCAACTCATTGAGACCTTGTTTCTAAATAAAGGGCTGGGATGTGGCTTAGTGATTAAGTACCCCCCCACACAAAAGTACAAAGCAAATTAATGGAAACCTACATGTTTGATTATGAGGGTTGGCTTTAGAATGAGAAAAATCTTATAAACTTTAAAGGTGAAAAACAATAGGAACTTAAACCCAAGGCTGTAAATTAAAAAATATGGGAGACTGGCTCAGGACCCACTGAAGATGACCCAAATATGCAGATGAAATGATGTGTATCCTCTTAGAACCCACACATCCTGCTGTGTACATTTCTGGAGGGCTGGGTACGTGCTCTACCATTGAGCTACATCCCAGCCCATCTTGTATACCCAAATCATCTCCAGGTTACAGATAATACCTAATTTATGTAAATAAAAGCCCACTGCTCGGTATGGGTATAATTAAAAAAATATTTTCCCTCCCAGGCAGGCTGAGCTCATGGACATGGAACCCATGGCTATGGAAGATGCCCCTACAACTGTGCATCTGCACCCACAGTAAAAAGCCCACAGGAAATACACAACACCCGGCAATTAAATTTCTTGTTTGCATTTTTCTGTGCCATCCACATTTGCTACAGTAAACATGCTTTCCTCTTGTTTTTGCAGTGCTGGGGATTGAATCCAGGCCCCTGCACATACGAGGCGAGTGCTCTATCTCTGAGCTACTTCCCCCCAGCCCAATGTTACTTCTTTTATAATCAGGAAAAGACAAAAAGTTTCTTTTTGTTGTTGTTGTTTATTTTTTTCTTTCTTAAAGGAAGAGAAAGGAACAGAGATCAAGTTCTCCAGAAGCCACACTGGCTCCAGGGCACTCCAGCCCCTCTTTGCAACGGCGTACCACAGCTTCACCCACATTATCCCAAAGCCCAGACAGGGGTCAGAGGCCCACAGAACCCTCCTAAGGCGAGCAACACCTCACTCTTTTGAGTCACAGGCTGTTCTCCTGTGTTACTCCCTTGGGGGTTCTGGCTTTCTCTAGAAATCACAGTGACCTTTCAGGACACTCTCCTCTCTCATGGACAGCTGAGGGTGGTGGCGTGAACGGGACGGGGCCTGTCCTTCCTGCCAGGGCTACGATGGCAGCAAAAGAAGAGTCAGGAACCAGCTTTCTTCCAGAAGGAATTAGTTTTAATGGTTTAAAAATGCGTTTATATAAAAGCAGCACCACCATTTGGTGCTTCCAGTCCCTGGGGTCCCAAGGGTCTCTTCCAGCACTATCTCTTTGGCCAGTTGTACCTAAAGCCTCTGCAGAGACAGTAGGAAAACAGAGTTACTTCTTCCAGAGTGGCTGACAGTTGGGTCTCAGCTGCTTTATACAACACATAACCCTCTAGAAGGCAGAACTGAAGAATGACTTGCTTGGGCCCTGGGGACTGAGCTGGATGGCAGTTTTTTGGGGTGGCGGGGGCAGAGTGCGGGGCCACAGCGATGGCCGAGGCCTTGAGCAGAATTTTTCCTGTGCCAGGGCCCAACCTCAGGTACTGCTCTAGTATCATCTGGATTTCACGCTCTTAACTACAACATTCTTCAGCAATGACAACCCACATTTGCCGATTTTTTCTTTCTTTCCTAAGAAACAGGCTGACCTAAGAAAATTTCATACATATTTGCTCTGTCTGAGGTGACCTCAGGAAACTAAACAGGAAAGAGCAAAGAATAAGGGGTCTGAATGCTGGGATGCAGTAAATGGCCATATGACACGTGGCACACAGCAAATCACGTCCCCTCCTGTTTTTCAAGTGACAAAGAGAGGCCTGGCTGTGGAGAAAGCCTCTGCTCTTCTAGACAAAGCCCTCTGAGCTGTGTTCTGCTGCAGGTACCCAAGCGCAACAGGGAAGGTGCTTTCCTGCTGGGCTCCAGGGCCCGCGCCTGGCTGCTTCCACATACCTGTCTGATTTTCCAGTTGGAAAGGACATGCTTTTGTTTCCCACTGACTGTTTCAGTTTTTTGGCTGCAAAGCACTTCTGAAAAGATAAGAGATGTTGAAGGTGGGGGACAACCTTGACCAGCAGAGAAYACCCAACTCAGATGGCTAGGGAGAGGGGGTACCCAGCACACGGGTGAGCCCTGGTTTCCAGCAGTGGGCACACCTGTGCACTTCAGAAGACAGAGCTAGGGCAGGAACAGGAGGCTCTGCACAGCCCTGCTCCCACATGCCAGCCCCACTGGGCCTGGACCCCACAGGGGGTACACACTGGCCATACTGGCACCCGAAGGGGTGCTTCTGACCTGAAGCTAGAATTCCCATGGCTACCTGGCGCGGTGGTGCACGCCTGTAATCCCAGTGGCTCGGAATGCTGAGGCTAGAGGATCTTGAGTTCAAAGCCAACCTTAGCCACTTAACGAAGTCCTAAGCAACTTAGCAAGACTGTCTCAAAATAAAATATAACAAGGGCTCGTGCCCCTGGGTTAAAAAAAAAAAAAAAAATTCCCATGGCTGCAAAGAGAAAAACTGCATGCCAGGCTGGGTGGGGGCCATGCCTGTAACCCCAGTGGCATGGGAGTCTGAAGTAGGAAGGAGGAGGATCACAAGTTCAAAATCAGTCTCAGCAAAACTGAGACACTAAGCAACTCAGTGAGACCTGTTTCTAAATAAAATACAAAATAGGGTTGGGAGGTGGCTCAGTGGCTGAGTGCCCTCATTCAATCCCCGGTAAACCCCCTACCCCACAAAAAAAAAAAAAAAAAAAAGAAAAAGACAACAAACAACTGCACGCCATCTTTTACAGCCACTTTAAAAAAATGGCGGAAGCAGCTGCTGGGTGCCATCTCCTCTGGGAAGGAAGGAGCAGGAGAAGCCACAGAGGAAGAGGACTGCTGGATGGAGCACCCTCCCAGCAGAGGGGCTGAACTAAGACTGCGGGGAGTGCAGCGCTCCTGGTGCGGCCTTACCTTGCCAGACACGGCTTGCTTACTGGGGTCAAACTGGGAGGAAGGTTTGGGTTTGCTGTCTCCTGCAAGGTAAGAGATGAGGCCAGCGCTGAGGCAAGGAGCTTACGACAGGGCCCGCCCGGGGTTCAGACTGCTGGCGGCCAGCCTGCCACCTGCTTTGTGATGACATAAGTTAATGTTTCCAATCGCTGCTGCTGAGACCAGGCTTAGTTCTCACAGACCTGTTTCCAGGCTGTGAGGGGCAGGTGGCTCCTCTGACATCAAGATCCAGCGCCATAGGTAGGGACAGGGGCTCTTGATGAAGTCCCCGTGTGGACTGTCCTGCTCTCTTGCTCCTCCAAGGGCTGTGTTGCCCTGGAGGCAGCTAGAGGGAGCCAGGAGTTTGGGCTTCAGGTGCTTTCAATCAACAATAGCTGTGAGTGTGTCTATGTGTGTGTGTGTGTGTGTGTGTGTTCTGGACACAAGTGACTGTGAGAAAGGACGAAGCCATTAGTCACACGGAGGGCTGAGAGCTAGTTCTGGGGAAAGGGGCTTCTGGCGGTCACTGGCCACTGCCACGTCCTGGGCAGGGCTTGCTGTGCCTAAACTGTGCCTTCTTCACTGGACAGCTTCCTCCCACCTCGCATGGCCAGATGTCCCAGAGTGGGGCCCCAGTCCTGTCCTCACCAGCAAAAGCCTTGAAGTCCGACTGGCTGTAGTCAAAAGGGGTAAAATCTTTTTCTGATGGATCTGAGTCCTTTGGCTTCTTGGAAGTCTTGAGTCGTTTCTTCTCCTGTTTCTGCTCCAGGGTCCTCGGGTCGCTTGTTGTTCGCTCTCTCTTCTTAGCAGCATGCTCTAGCTGCAGGGCGAGCACACCCGGGGAGGGAAGCAGGAAGTGCCTGAGAGGGGAAGACCTGCCGCTTCGGTGACAGGTGAGGAGGGCCTAGGAATGCCTGGGCCACAGGTTGTGGAGTTTGGATTTCTGGGGGAACATCTATACATTATATGATGGGGCACCTTAGGATGGGACCCAAGTCTAAACACCAGAATCATTTGTTTCATTTTCTTTTCTGCAGTAGAGGGAGTGAGCCTACTGCAGAGGGCTCCAGGCATGCCCCCCACCCAGCCCTCTTCTGTGCTTCCTATGCCCCTATGCACATAGCTCAAGGGGACTGGACACAGATTTTTGGCACAAGCCAGGGTTCGAAGGTGTGGAATGTTCCCCTGTGGTGGCGTGTGCCTGCTCAGGGCGTTTGGATTTGGGAGCATTTCAGATTCGGATATCAGGTTGGGAGGCTCAATCTCTATCAGCTGGGGACTCAGCTGCCTGTATCATATCAACATGGCTTTGGTGGGGGGGAGGCCATGGCTGGGTACGAGCAGCCTGGCACTTCAGGACACTCTCACTTGGCTAGTGCCAGCAGGAACAAGTTCCTACCTGGACAGTGATGTCAGTCATTAAGAAAGGCAGGGGTTAGAATTCCAGAGTGCTCTGGGGGTGGTGAGAATGAAGCATTTCCCGGGGCCACACTGCCACCCACAGAAGGGCCTTCTGGCAGATTTGCTATCAGTAGCAGGAGGCGCCATCTAAGGGAAAGGACAGCATCAACCTGCTTGAGGTGAGATGAGGCAGGCACCAGCTGAGGAGCCAAGGTGCCGGGAGTCACCACTTCCTCTGATGCACAGGGGACCCCTCCTCAGATGATCAGGGAGAGCCTGACCGCAACAGGGCGTCCTGTTTCTCACAGGTAAGAGAAGCCAGCACATACCACTGCCTGCTGGCGCACAGAGGTGGCCTGCTCCGCTGCGGCTTTGTACTCTTCCTTTGCCTGTTCCCGGGCGGCTGCAAGAAAGAACAGTCCGTGGAGCTGCCAACCCGGAGCCAGCTCTCCAGCCCTGGCGGTGAGCACAGCTGCCCTCCTGCCCACCGGCCCCTGCAGCGGGCTCAGCTTGGCTGATCTTCTCACCTGCACCTGGGCGCTCAATCCCATGTTCCCACCTGCCTGCTCCTCTCCCATGAATCCAGGCCAAATACCCAGCAGTGTCCCTGACATCTCCCTGAGGATGCCRGGTAGGATCACAGCCCTCCGTCAGGGCCAGAACCAAAACCTCCTCTCTTGAACCAACTCCTCTGCTGTCTCCATCTTTCCAAGTGCTCAGGACAAAACCCTCTGGCATCTAAGGCTCCTCCTTCATGTCACTTGCCACATCCAACTCACTGCATATCGGGGTCCAAACAACCCCTCCCCTCCTGCTCACCTGGTCCCTGGGTGTCTCCCAGCAGGTCCCGCCTTCCCTCTACCACCCACTGCAACATGACAGCCTGAGGGACCTGCGACACATCAGCCCCTCTGCTGCTTCCCAACCCACTCAGGGTGAAAGCGGGTCTTTCCCATGCCCTGCCTGGGGTCCCGTCTTCTGCCCCTCTTCCCAGCCTCTGTGCTGCTGCTATGGGCAGCCTTGGCACTCCTTGAGAATGCTCAGGAAGCTGCCACCTGGGCCCTGGGACTCGCTGCAAGGTCAAGGTTGGTCCAGACCCTCCTCCCCTAATTGCTCCAGGACTTGGCTCAATGTCACATTGGTTAGGCTGCCTGCTCCAGCCACGGCCGAGTGGCTGGCGGCACCACTTTCCTCGCCTCTCCCGCAGGCACCTCCCGGCTTTCCCCAGAACACACATTTACTGTCTACTGTCCATCCTGCCGAGGCAGGCTGCCTGAGGCGGGACTGGGCCTATCGTGGTCACTGTTCTTTCACACTTTGTGGAACGACTGAGTCAAGTGCCTGATGTGCGAGGGCTGTCCTTATCAAACACTGCGTTTACAAGGAAGTGAGGCTACCTGTTTGCTCAGCTGCCTTCTTCTTGGCAGTTTCTTTAGGTTCTTTTTGTACCTGAACCTGGCTGGCCAGCTTCCAACGGTTGCTGATCTATAATGAAAACAGACAAGGCAAAAACACTCCCAGCGCACCCATCTCAGAGCGCCTCTTCCACGAGGCCGGGGTGGGCACGCTGACCTACCAGCGCCACACRTTCCAAGCCAGAAGTTCCCCATCCAAGGACACAAAAACCAAGTTTCCTGCTGGCCTTTATTTATAAGATCCTTATTGACAAGGACAAAGTGCAACTGCATCCCCGGCGCTAGGCTAGAGGCTGCACACCCAGCAGCTCATTCCATGCCTTCGTCATACTGGGACAGAGCTACCGTCACCACCATCCCTTCAGAGGCAAGGGAACAGGCCTGGGAGGCTCTGTGCCTTGGGAGGGACGTGATCAGGGAGTGGTGGAGCTGGGAGTCAAGGCAAGTCCCGCTGTTCTGTGTGACCTGCTGTCAGCTATGGTGCTGGAACACATCTGGGTGATGCCACACAAGAGCAGCAAGCACAGACAGCTGCTTGTGCCACAATTAGCAGGAAGAAGGGAGAAGGCACAGCTTGACCTGACCTCCAACTCCAACACCAGTAGGTGGACCCTCAGCACCATGGCCAAGACCTGCTGACGTCTGTGCCACCAAGGGGGGCCCTGGCCTTTGCTGTGAGTGGGGCTTCCGCAGGGAGAAGGGGCTTTCAGTTAACGTCCCTGGAGGGGGCCCAGCACAAGAACTCATATTCACAATGCTGCTAAACACACCAAACAGTGGAGGCAGGGGGTCTGAAAGCTTCAGCTGTGTTCTAAGAGCTGAGAGTGACGCACAGTGCAAAACTGCATGAAGCTGCACGTTAATGCTGTGCACACTTTTTACATTTTAAATCTCAGTTACGAACACCACAAGACAAAATCTTTTCTTGCAATGCTGGGGATGGAACCTAGGCCTCTCACATGCCAGGAGCCACAGACCAGTCCAAAACCTGTTTCTTAAGAGGTTTCCAAGTGTTTTGGAGAGCCTGAAGTTCTGCCTGAAGTCTACCTCTTGAAGCTTCTCTTCCTAGAAGCAATGCTTAGACAGAAAGGGCTTTTGCACCCACAGAAGATCTCAAGCCCATCCACATGGAACCTCTCTAAAACAGAAACCTAGTTTAAATAATTAAGAAGTCCCCTTTCTTTGTGAATTGCACTTAGAAAAGGTGCCGAATCCACTTACTTCATAGATCTTCGAGGAAGGATCAAGCTTTGCTGCCTGAGAGATGTGGCCCCGGTGCTCTAGTGAAGGCAGGAACTGTGGAAAGGGAGATAATAGTGGGAACTGCTGGGAGATGGTACATGGGCCCAGTCAGGGTGCTCACAGGACTGTTGCTGGGGTCACTTAGAAGGCCTTAACTCATAGTCCCAGCCAGGACGCTGAGGACAAGTGACAACTGGACTCACAGGCTTCCCTCCCCAGAGATCCGCTGTTTCTTTTCAGGTAAAAGGCACACCAGCCGGGAGCACATACGGCCAGGACTCACCATCCTAAATGGGTTTTCAAAGGACTCCATTATGTTCTGGGCTTTTTTCTGTGCAACTGTTAATGGACTCTTTCCATTTTCCTCAGCAGTAGGTTCCTACAGGGACAGACAAAACTCCAATCACTTATAACCATGACCATATGTAACATCAGGATGCAAACATGAGAAAAAGAACAACAGTGACATTAGTAATATCAGCTAGTCCTTTAAGCCTTCCTGTGTACAAGGCCCTGTGCCTGCAACAGCACCTCGTAGGGCTGCAAAACTAATCTGCTGAATTGATAAATTCTCCGTGTCCCCACAACCTATGAGGCACGAGGTACTGCTCTCATCTCGCAGCCTCTCACTGAGGCTTGGAGCAGCTACGGAAGTCTTCCAGAGCCTTGTGGTTAGCAGTGGCAAGACAAAGATTTAACCCGACACCTGCCTGGCCCGAGAGCTTAAAGGCTTTTTTTGTGTGTAGTACTTCGGGATTGGACCCAGGGGTCCTCTACAATGTTTTTTTTTTTTTTTAATCTTTATTTTTGTTTATTTTTATGTGTTGCTGAGGATCGAAACCAAAGCCTCACACATGCAAGGCAAGCGCTCTATTGCTGAGCCCCAGCCCCAGCCCTCTCTAGTCTTCTTTACTTTTTTGAGACAAGGTCTGGCTAAATTGCTGAGGCTGGTCTTTGAACTTGTGATGCTCCTGCCTCAGCCTCCCCAGTTTCAAGGATTACAGGTGTGCACCCGCAGGCCGGGCTGGAGGTATTAACTGACATAGGAAAGGTAATTATGGATCTTTATGGGAAATCAATTAAATTATGCTCCCCATTCTGCAGAGTCCAGGGAGACCACAGCCTCTTCTGACTAAACAGCACTTCCATGTCAATGCAGCCTGGAGTCTGCTCACGCTCACTGCTGAGCCTCTGGACGGCTCATGCTATTATCTTGTGGTTAACTGAAGCTCCTAGGCTTCCCCGCCCTCTTCTGCAGTGCTGGGAACTGAACCCAGGATTGAGCATGTGCTCTGCAACTGAGCTACATCCCAGCCTGACTCTTTTCCCGTGAGCTGCCAAAGCAAGATCCCATCTAAATTCATGCAATTATGTTAAAAAGGAAGTGAAGTTCAAGGTAGTACATTTTACAAGAGACATTTCATCTTGGCTTTGTCCAACATTCTGGCATGAAGGAATGACTATAAATTTACTTCTGTAACCTCCTATACCACTTAGTTTTTGTCATCTGAACATCTGGCAAGCTTGATGACTGTCTTTACCCAACAGGCAAGAGTCTTCTCTCAGTTCTTTCTGAAAAATCTCTTGTTCCCAGTACTCCACCTGCTATGGTGCCCAGAGTTGCCCCTGCATGTTCTGCTTTTATCTCTGGTTTTTTGAACACTCACTCATCCTGACCAGCTCATGTACTCAGCCTTCCTTTTGTGAGGAACCTGGAGCTCCAATCACTGGTGGAAACAAGGAGCCAGGGGTGTGAGCAGGAAGGCTCTGTCACAGCTCAACATGTTCTGGGAACAGGGCCCTCCCCAGGTGAGTGACATGGAGTCTCCAAAACAGTGTCACTAACTGCTATGACCACTCCACAGACCTGCCTTGGCTGCACCTCACTTCCTCTCAGGAACCACAGTGCAAACCATTGGCAAAGTTTGCTCTTCTTGGAGAGTACATGTAGACAGTGCTGGGCACAGGCAGGAAGGTGCACACAGCACGGACTCCATATCTGATGACAGACAGTGAGTTGGATGTGGCAGGTGACAGGAAAGAGGAGCCTTGGATGCCAGAGGGTTTTGTCCTGAGCAGTTGGAAAGATGGAGATGGCAGAGAAGCTGGTTCAAGGGAGGAGGTTTTGGTTCTGGCCCTGACAGAGGGCTGTGATCCTACTCGGCATCCTCAGGGAGGTGTTAGGGACACTGCTGGGTATTTGGCCTGGGTTCATGTCAGGTGGGAACATGGATTGAGCAGATCAATGAAATGCATTTTTAATCCAGTAGGCTTGAGAGATGCCCCTGCTTAAGGCATCGAGATGGGCAGTCCCTGCTGGTGGCTGTGTCTGAAAGCTCTGCATCTGTCACCTCAGCCACACCCTCCCCCCTGCTGGGCAGCTTTCCCTTGAGGGGAAGCCCGGGCGTGTCCTGCAGATGACCTCCTTGGAGTGCTGTCTCCCTGCACCTCTCCTTCTGCTGCAGTTTCACTCTGGCGTTAGTCTCCAGGGTGTGTGAATGCTCCTGGCAGACAGCCTGCTGGACGAACCCCACAATACCCACAAAGCTACCTCACCTCTCCGGAGCTTCCTGTTACTCACATTAAACAATGTGATGACGGCTGTGGCGAGAAGGCATTTGGTATCCAGCAAGGTCTCCTCTTTTTGGTTAGTGAAGAGGTCCGACTGTTTCTGAGCTGGCACAGACCCTATCCGCATGAAGTCAGGAAGGTCAAAGCCCGTGGCCTGAGGCAGAGCGGCTCTGAGCGTGCCAACCCCACTCTTCCTGAGCCCAGGGGTTTCTACTTACTGGCAGTGGGGGTGACTGGGTAGCCATCTGGAGTGGCATGGGAACAGTCATGAGGGCCAAAGAGAACATTCTCCAACCTCTGCATCAAAACAAAACCAGCAGGCCACACGTAAATCTTGGAAGCAGCAGGAGCTGGCCCGTAAGGTTTGTGTACATGGACTCTGATGGCTGTCCCTTCCACCCACCACGGGGACAGAGGCAATGACACTTCACCTCGACACTGGGAAGCGGCCCGCTCTTCTTCACTCCAGCTGCAGCTTCAGACTAAGGAGGAAAGACAAGGGGCAGTGAGGGAGGCTGCATAAGCTTGAGGACACRTCTCCCCGCAGACTGTGGTTCCCGGGGACGTGTTTCTCTAGAACCCAGAAAGACCGCTGCGTCCTCATCCCTCCCAGTGCCTGGCACTACAGATATCTGGTGCTCAGGAATCGTGCAATCAAAGAACAGAGCTCTTTATCACGATGAGGCACCACAGGAAAGATTCCAAAGAGCCTGCAAGAGTGTCTTCTCTAGCGGTATGGGGCTCCCTCTACTTGGACAAACTGCAGAGCTAAGAAAGACATTTATATTTTTTCTTGAGGTGCTAGGGATGGAACCCAGGGCCTTGCACCTGCTAAGCAACCACTCGACCATGAACCACAGCCCCTGGCCCCCAGAAAGACATTTTAACATGACAAGTGCCAATGTGTTCATGCTCAGATTCTTCTTTGATTTTCAGTCTTTCTGGACCAATTATCTTTCAAAAAAAAATACCACATGCTGCTATTACTACTGAGCCAACACATTGAAAACTGTCCCAGTATTATAAACCAACAGAACGCATGCTGTTTTATGGAATGATTTGCTGCCCAACCACATAATGGAAGGTAAAGCCAATTAAGAAGGTGAAACAAGGGCTGGGATTGTGGCTCAGCGGTAGAGCGCTCGCCTAGCACGGGTGGGACCCGGGTTCGATCCTTAGCACCGCATAAAAATAAAGGCATTGTCCATCTACATCTAAAAATTAAATAAATATTTWAAAAAAAAAAAGGTGAAACAAAAAGCCTCAAACCAAGACATGCTGTCATGTCTCCAGGACCCACAAGACATGCTCATGTCCCCACTCCTGTGCACTTTGCACTTCACCATCCTGTGGATACCTGTGTTGCAGGGGCAGTGTCACTTTCCCCGAGTCTGTCTAAACTTCAGCCTCTCCTTCACACATATTCTTTTTCTGAATCTCCGATTTTTTCTTTCTTTCTTTTTGCTGTGCTGGGGATGAAACCCAGGGCCTTACACATGCTGGCCAAGTGCTCTTCCACCAAGCTCTACCCTAGCCCTAAATTCCCACTTCCTACCTTCCCAATCACCTAGGTTTTGAATGTGGAGAAAATGGTCTTGGATTCCACCTTCATCAGGCTCCAAAATCAGTTTAGATAACAGGTCTACATACTTTATGCTGAAGAAAAACTGGCATCTGTTACAAAGTCCCTCTGATCTTTCGTTCTGGTACCTCCTATATCTGTTCTTTCCATTCCGTGACAACCACACACTCTCAGAGCACTCTCTCTTAACATCTGGACCATTGCTGGGCTTCCAACATGAGCTCCCTATACTGAGATCCCCACCTCATCACATTCTGCCAGATTAACTGCTTTATAGCAACAGCTAATTAGCCCAGCCACTAGATGCTACCGGCTGTCAGATCAGCAAAGATAAGGTCATAAAATGATCAGGATGAATTTTAGCTCCTTTTTAATATGTGTGGTATTGGGAAGAATTTTATCTTTCGACTATCATAAAGTAATGCACAGGTTGGGCGTGAAGTTCAGTGGTAGAGTGCTTGTCTAGCATGTGTAAGGTTCTGGTTGACCCCCAGCACCACAAAAATGAGAAAAAAAAAAAAGGGCAGCTAAATCCAAAAGGACACACCTACTTCCAAGAGTTAGCAGGATGAACAGCCTGTTGAGTTGGGATTCTTACCTTGAGCAGGGGCATCTCTCGAGCCTGCTGGATTAAAAGATGCATTTCATTGATCTGCTGTCGTACAAGAGGCGGTACTGGGTTGCAGCAAGCTATGATGCCCTGCGGTTCCCTAAAGACAAGGGAGAACATGCTCAACTCACTTTAGAAACAGTCCTTAGTGACTTCCCAAGAGAATAATGACTAGGAAAAGCCAGGGTTCATGGCTAAGCTAAAGAACCAGAAGAGAGATGATAGGAAGGCAGCCAGGCCAATGCTTACACTAGGCCCTCTCTGGCCTGAGTCCACACACGGGAGAGCTGGAAACAGACACTCTGGCACTGCTGGTTCTCAGCTCTACAGGATGAGCAACAGACTGGATTCTGATTCTTACTCATACTTCAAGTGACATTACAAAATGCTCAAAATCATGAGGTCTTGCAGGCACATGGTGCACACCTATATATAATCCCAGCAATTTAGGAGGCTGAGACCCTAAGCAACTTAGTAAGACCCTGTCTTAAAATACAAAATAAGGTCTGGGGATGTGGCTCAGTGGTAAAGTGTTCCTAGGTTCAATCCTTACATAAAACAAACAACAACACATGAGGTCTTTTTTTTTTTTTTTTTTTGTTACCAGTGATTGAATCCACAGTTGTTTAACCATTGAGCCACATCTCCAGCACCTGTTGCTTTTAAAGTTTTAAAAAATATATTATTTAGTTGTAGACAGACATAATACCTTTATTTTATTTATTAATTTTTATGTGGTGCTGAGGATTGAACCCCGGGCCTTATGTGTTGTGTTTTATTTTGAGACAGGGTCTTGCTAAGTTGCTCAGGCTGGCCTAGAAATCGTGATCCTCCTGCCTCAGCCTTCTGAGTAGCTGGGATTACAGGTGTATGCCACCATGACCGGCTATGAGGTGTTAGTTTGGAAGAAAGTACAGCTGAGAAAAATCAGATTTTTTTCTTTCTCTGTAAGTGGCTGCTGTAGCTGCCAGAGACTCAAACACAACATAAGACATAATTATTAAAACATTCCAGTTTAGAAGTTTTAGATCTTACATGGCAGCTCTTGGGCAGTAATTTTCCATTTCTTGGACTTGCTACCTTCTGAATTTAGTCCACTAATCTGAGTAAACAGCTTTGCGTTAGAGTAATCAAGAAAGCCCAACTCTGAAGGACATGTGGTCTACTGAGACAGTTGGAACACATTCACAAGCCCAGACTCACTTGGGCAGTTCTTCGGCTATCTTCAGCATCATGTGGTTCGGCAGTACGTATCTGGAATAGAACACATGGGATAACATGAAAATTCAGCTAGTAAGTTCCATTTGATGCTGGGGATATGACACAGGGGCAGAGTGCTTGCCCAGCATGTGCAAGATGCTGCATTTGATCTGTAGGGCTGCAAAACACACACACACACACACACACACACACACACACACACAGCTATAACACAGAGGCAAAAACCAGCCTTCAGAGTGGAAGAAAGAAACAAAAAAGTCCAGGTGGATGTGGAGGCTCATATCACACCCCTATAGACCCATGGGGCTGAAGCAGGGTGAATGCAASGCCACCTGGGCAACTTGGTGAGAACCTGTCTCAAAAGAGTAAATAAAGACTGCTGTGGATGTCACTCAGTATTGTGGAGTGCTCCTGGGTTCCATCCCAGGGCTACAAAGTCCCTTTCCTGTCATCAGAAAAGCCCGGCCTAGAAGAAAGGATTAAAGGACTYGGGATTCCTTTACCCGTAACTTTCATCCTCCCTTCGAGCTGTTTTATCCCTCCAGGCAAAAAGCAGCTGGAAAGCTGTCAACTGCTGCGAGTTGAGATGCTTCTTTTGCTTCCGATACAGTTCAAGGTAGGACTCATCAGTGAAGATAGGTTTGACAAATTTCTGCAGAATATTAAATATGCAAGATTAATAGATTGAAAATTGTGCCCTGGGCTCTTGAAAATGTTTGGCTCTTGTCACAGATGTGAAGAACAAAAGTGAGAACTAGATCCTAATCAGAAGTGAGTGCTGACTGTGGGGCTTGTGTGGGCCTGGTGAGGCTGTACCTTGAGGCAGATGTCYCTGCTCCGCTGCCACACCACCTGCAACTGGACGGGCTGGTCTCCACCTCGCTCCCACAGCTCTACCCTCATTCTGTCGTAGATGTAGAGCAAGTAATGGGTGTCGTCCCGGGCATAGCTGAGCATTTCTTCAGGCAGAGGGCTAGAATTTAAACACAGGGCTTGGTTCTGCTTACTGCCCCAGGGACAGCAATCCACTCTGTCTACTCACCGGATGCTAGGGCTTTCTTGAACCCTTCTGGTTTCAAAGAGTCTTTTAAAGCCAGTTATTATGGTCATATCAACATTTCTTACACTTTTTTTTTTTTTTGGTACTAGGGATTGAACCCAGGGGCACTTAACCACTAAGCCATATACATCCCCAGCTCTTTTTGTATTTTATTTAGAGACAGGGTCTCACTAAGTTGCTTAGGGCCTAAGTTGCTGAGGCTGGCATTGAACTTGTGATCCTCCTGCCTCAGCCTCCTGAGCTGCTGGATTACGGGTGATGCCATCACCAGACCATATGTGAACTTTGTTGGTCCAAATAAATTTTGTTACTATTTAGAAATTCACACATGTTGAAATGGAGAGAAGCTCAGAGGCATCTTACAAGGCACGGTACCTCAGGGAGGTAGCCAGCCATGATCAAACCTGGGGCTGTGGTTTCCAGAAAGCAGGGTAAAACTGCTACAACCCTGTGCTACTAAATCAACTGTGCACCTGAGCCTTCTCTCACACCTCAGGAGATAACTCATCCCTGCTACAGCCAGCAGAGTTGCAAACAAGGCAGAATGGCACTGGTCAATGCTGACAAGGCATGCTTCTTTTTTCAATCACTACTTCCAAGAAGCAAAGTGTAACAACCAACCTGATATAAACTCCACATTTCCATCCTAAACTTTTCTACTTGTGTTGCAAAAAACTCCCTGGAAATGTCTAATACACTCATTTGAAATAAAGCAGTAATATTCTTCCCGGCAAGAGGTTAGTGGACCCCAGGCCTCGATCTTGCCACCCACACTTCCTGCCAGGTGCAAACTCACCGTATCCTCCAGTCAGCTAGCTGGTACTGCTTGTTTGATTCCACGCTGCAGTAGAGTTTCAGCAGGTGATCGAGCGAGTGCCTGCCCAGGTTAAGAAGGCGTGCTGCCTGGTGGGTATCAAACATGTTTACTACGTATAGCCCAAAGTCTTTCTGTAGCCACTCAATGTCGGAATCGGCACCATGGAAGACCTGAAAACAAAACCAACGCCATGTGATACACCAACAGAAGCCCCTTGTCTCTGAAGACAAAGCTGCCTCAAGGCCCTCAGCGCCTGGGATTGGAGGCCAGCCTGGAGATGAAGATGCATGTGGTTTTAAATGCTTCCTTTAATTTGGGGCCCAGCCTTTGTCTGTACTTCTATTATACAAGGTTACAGGCTGAAGCAGCTCTATGGGCTCTAAGCAAGTCCTCAAGTCCATGCAATCCTGATGGATTAGGTTCTTGGTTGCAGCCACTAACATGACCTGTTTTGGCTCCAAGTGGCAGCAAGCTAGAGACAAGAAGTTAGCATGTGCAGGGCAGGAAATGACACGATTTCTTTTAACCGTGTGCTCTAGGTGAAAGACTGCAACCCCACCTCAATGCTGGAGCTGGAGAGGGCCGGCTGACCTTAACGATAGCTGGGTCTGTGAGGCTCTCGTTGAGGATATACATGTCACTGCGAAGCTCCAGGGTGTCCACGATGAAGTCTTCTGTTCGGGTGGAAATCTGCATCAGGCAGGTGAGTCCCAGGAAGCTCCTGTAAGAGTGGTGCTAAGACAGAGAGGGAGGGGACGGGAGGATGGTATCCACTAGCCTTTCCTTTACCAACTGTTTTATCTATTAACTTATATTTGGTGCTGAGGACGGAACCCAGGACCTTGTGAATGCTAATAAGCATGTGCTCTACCACTGAGTTATGCCCCAGCTCCTCCTCCACCAATTTTGAAATCAATTATACAGCAGCAAAAAATTCCATTAAAATTTGTGCTAATTTCCTACTTCTCAAGTAAGTGAATTCCCGAAAATGTAAAAATTTCACTCAAGGGTCAATTACAAGATACCTCTAAGTCTACAGCAAATTCTTGACAATTCAAGAGTTTTTCGTTGAGTTCCACAAGTTTGTCCAGGGAGGATACAAAATGGCAGGGTGTTTCTTCTACAGGTCTGTACAACTGGAGCAAGTACAGTGAGAAAAAGAAAAGAATATTAAAACCACCCTCACTAAAAAACCAAGCAAACTATGAGTCCAAGCAGTGGCCTAAACTCCCTACTTTAAACATATTAAAGGAAAGTCAAAATTAGATCAAATAATCTGCTTTCACTCTTCTTCCCAGGCCCCTCTGACATCACTATAACTGGGCACTAACCTGGGGTTGTGGCTTCTGAAGCACTGACTCTGGGGGTGTGAAGTGATCTAGTTCATATTGATAAGGATGTGCAAACCTAATCAATAAAACAAAAAGAAACCATTTGATTAATTCCATCAGTCAAAGGAAAAGCTGTTCTGATACAACATGTAAAACAAGTGAGAACCAAGCATTGTGAAACTACCTTCCCTTTGCAAAAGCATCATTGGTGCAGTGATAATTCATGAGCATCAAATAAATAAGGCAATGTGTGATGGCCCTGACCACAGGACAATTTGTCTGTTTCTTCAGGGAGAATTGAAGAACCGAGACTTGACGAACATGTGAGTACTTTCTTGCAAACACTGGATGGTTGGTGTTGTAGATGACACAAAAATGAAAAATACATAATTCCTTATGGTTTGGAAAAATAAACTGATGAAGTTGAGAGAGAGTGGGGCAAATATTCTGGTTGACCATGGGCTAAATGTTTTTTTCCTTCTTCTCTCCTGAATTTGCATAAACACCCCAGGCCTGTGGTGAGTTTGAGGGCAGAGTTACCTTTCATTCCCTCTATTTCTCCAGCAACTTAATCTGGCCTCATAGTGCAGAGAGGGGGCAAGGAATGAATGTAAACAGCCCCTGGCTATGTGTGAGAAAGAGGCCAAAGCCAACTTCATTATGCCAAACCTCATATGTCTATTCTCTCTCCCTTTTTTGAGATGGGATCTTGCTMTGTTGCCTGGGCTGGTTTCAAGCTCATGGGCTCAAGTGACCCTCCCAAGTAGCTGGGACTATAAGTGTGCACCTTCTTGCTGTGTTTTTGATGCTGGAGACTTGCACATGCGAGGCACACACTGCCACTAAACAGCATTCATGCCCATTTATCTATTTGAAGTTTTCGCAAGATGCCAATGCTGCCAGTGAACAACCCTATTCTTTGCCTCACCTTAAGGTGAGTCACTCCTGTGAAAAGGCAGGGTAGCATGGGCGAAAGGCAACTTGAAGAAAATGGGGGTTTACAGTTCTAGTCTCGGGGACGTCAGCATCTTTAATATAGCAAATGGGAGCTAGAGTACCTGCCACTGCTTGGTACCTGGTAAGGGTAACCTGGGACAGTGCTGTGTTGGTCTCTGTGAACACAAACAGGATGCTCAGTTGCTAATATTTGTGTGAGAATGAGGCAAAAACCACCTGTTTGACTTTTTCACATACACATTTTATAAAAGTGAAACCAAGTGAAAATGAATCAAAAATTTGAGTAGAAGGCTTAGACACAGGCAAACTCTTACATGTCCTGCTCAACCTGCTGGGTTCGCTGCTGATGGATGAAATCCGCCAGGGCAGGGGGTACATCCAAGTCCTCAGGACGGTCCTGGGGGCGTTCCCGCCTTTCTTTAGAAAGAGCTGGAGATCCAAGCAGTGACAAAAACACCATCACAAAGGGACACACACCTTAAGGTCTTTTCTAGCTTTCCGGGTATCACTGACTCCCTTTGAAGAACAGAAGGCAGAGAGACCTTCACCCCTTTGCTGCCTTTGGCATCAGATGGAAAAGAAGATTCACACACAGCAGAATGTGCAATACTCACGTGGAGGGAGCGGCTTCTGAGCATTGGGCTTGACGAAGATCTTAGGGAGAAACGGAGTGTTGGAATTGTCAATCTTCTCTCGAAACTTGAGTTGAGGTCGGATAATGTTTTTTGCATGAAGTAGTCGAAAAGTTTCAGATTTTGCTTTCCTGCCATATTCTCCTGCCTGTGATCAATGCATACAAATGTCTTATGCCACAGCAACCTGATGAGTTAGAAAAGCAAACTATAACCAGGCATGGTAGTGCATGCTTATAATGCCAGTGACTCGGGAGGCTGAGGCAAGAGGAAGGCTGATCCTGAGGAGGATCATAAGTTCAAGGCTAGCCTTGGCAACTTTGTAAGATCCTATCTTACAATTTTAATAATAGGTAAAAAGGACTAGGGGTGCAGCTCAGTGGTAGTACATCCCCTGCATTCAATCTTTAGTACCAGAAAAAAAAAAAAAAAAAGTAAATTCCAGTTGATGGTCTTCCAAGGAGATAAAAACATTTTGAGAGCTACTCATTTCATTTAGAATGTCTTTGCATGGGAGACTAGGAGTGCAAAGTGGAAGGGGTGGAGTCAGGCTCTATATATTTATGAGAACAAGCTAAACGAGGCAGTGCCAGCTCTGTCCAGCAAGTCAGACAGAAGTACACATTCGAGTGGGCAAGAGCCCTTTGGAAAAGCTTCCATGAAGGCCCAAAACTGAAAAGATGCCCTCACCTTCCGGTTCCAGCTGGACACTATTGTTTTGGGGACCTGTAGTCCTGCAGGGAGGACAGGTTGTTGATGCTTATTCACACCTGATGCTTCATCCAGCAAAATACCCTAAGAGTAAATGAGATATTAGGTTAGTATCTTCCTTTTGAGGTTAGCAAAGTTAATTCCCTGACATTTTTAAGAAATTTATTTGCAGAATTATGTGAGAGAATATGTACGTATCAATGCACATATGAAAACATACCTTAAGTATATGCAGTTTTTATTTGTCAATCAAAAAATAACCTTTTTTTTTTTTTTTTTGCCACAGTGCACACCTATAATCCAAGCAACTTGGGAGGCATAGGCAGAAGGATCACAAGCTTGAGGCCAGCCTTAGCAACTTAGTGAGACTTTTTTTTTTTTTAATTTTTTTTAGTTATAGATGGACACAATACCTTTATCTTATTTATTTATTTTTATATGGTGCTGAGGATTGAACCCAGGTACCTCAGATGTGCTAGGCAAGCGCTCTACCACTAAGCCACAATCCTAGCCCAGAGACATTTTTTTTTTTTTAAAGTAAAAAAGGGGGGCTGGGGATGTGGCTCAAGCGGTAGCGCGCTCGCCTAGCGTGCATGCGGCCCGGGTTCGATCCTCAGCACCACATACCAACAAAGATGTTGTGTCCGCCGAGAACTAAAAAATAAATATAAAAAAAATAAATAAATAAAGTAAAAAAGGTTGATGATGGCCAGGTGCAGTGGCACATACTTATAATCCCAGCAGCTTGGGAGGCTGAGGCAGAAGGATTTCGAGTTCAAAGTCAGCTTCAGCAACTTAGCGAGGCACTTAGCAACAAAGCAAGAACTTGTCTCTAAATAAAATATAAAAAAGGGGTGGGGACATGGCTCAGTGGTTGAGCACCTCTGGGTTCAATTCTCAGTACCAAACCAAACCAGACCAAAAAACGTTGATGATGTAGCTCAGTGGTAAAGTTAGGGAGTTGGGGTTGTGGTCCAGAAGTAGAGCACTTGCCTTACACCCTCCATGCACACACACATGCGAACATACACACACACACAAATGTGCATCACTGTGTGAGAGGTGGGGTGATTAGGGAGTTATACCAAGCAACTGAAGCATTATATGTTCACAGACAGGTAGGGCAGTAATTACTAACTCCTGACCTGATTGACCCTCTATAGCTATGAACTTGGCTGAATGTCCAAATATGATTTCACAATGTAATGTGGCCACTAAAATAAAGATAGAGGACTGTGTCTGTTAAATAAAGAAGTATAGGGGCTGAGTGTGTAGCCCAGTGGTATAGCACTTGCCTAGCATGCACACAACCCTGGGTTTTGTTCCCAGTACAGGGAGGAGGTGAGTGCCAGGGGAAGTACACTAGTTAGAATGAGAATAACGGTAGCCTGTCTAATGTGTACAAACAGGCGTGGAAAATCASTTTGTGCACTATTAAAAGAAATGCACCCACGTGACAGATGATAGTATGGCAGGACCTAAAGAGACTCCTCTAAAAGATTGTGGGCATTTAGGCTGGGAAGAGATGACCTCCTGGGACAGGAGAGCAGGATGTCAATATCTCCAGGGCTGTCACTGGTTGAAGGTTAGACTTACTTGGATGATCTGAGTATTTCTATAAATAATGCTCTCCTGCGGACTTTGAAATAAATTGATATTGACCTAGATAGATATGAATCTCCTTTCAGTTCCGCAGGTTGGGGTGTTAGAGGCAGATTGTGAAAAACAATAAAAAAAGAACTAAATTTTGGCTGGGCTGGTACAGAAGCTGCCTCTCTTGCAATACAAACAGAATTTGCAAATCAGAAAAATGGATTCATAGACACTTAAAAAAAAAACATAGAGGTTTCCCCAGGGAGTGATTTTTTCTTTCTTTTTTTTTTTAAGCCAGTGATATTTTAAAGACAACTGTTGTTACTTTTGAAGAAAAAGATGCCAATTATCAGGAGCAGTTAATTCCTGTACCAAATGCTAAAATCACTTCCTTTTCATTTTCTAAGGTGCTGGGTTACTCCTTGCTTTCATACAACACTCTTCATTTGTCAGTGAAGTGTCTGGCAAAGTACTCACCACTCTCTCCAGAATCACATCATTGGTGTCCACTAATAAATCAAACTTGTCCTCCAGCTCAGTCACCTTGCTCCGATCCTTAATGTTGCTGCGACACCCATGGTACTGCATCACCCTACTCATGCTAAGGAGAGAAAAGCCAAGGTCAGTCTGTGCATCTTTATCTCATGATTTGAAGGAGAAACTTATCTCAAAGCTTCTTACACATGATTATATATATATTTATATATGTGTGTGAGTGTTTGTACACACACTAGGGATTGAACTCAGGGGCACTCAACCACTGAGCCACATTCCCAACCCTATTTTGTATTTCATTTAGAGACAGGGTCTCACTGAGTTGCTTAGTGCCTTGCTTTTGCTGAGGCTGGCTTTGAACTCGTAATCCTCCTGCTACAGCCTCCTGAGCCGCCGGGATTCCAGGCATATGTCATTGTGCCCAGTCACATAATACTATATTAATAATGTATACTGTGTTTATTGTTTTAACATGGCAAATGTGAGTTTTTCTAATTTTTCATACAACAGTTACACAAAAATTAATATTTATGTATTATCTGTCCTAATACACTGATTTTCAAGTTCCATATTAATTCAAAAAGATCTGCTGCCTAAAAGTGCAAAAGTTGATAAATTTTTTAAAAGTTAAACTAAGCTGTGTGCAATGGTGCAGAGCTGTAATTCTAGCTACGCAGAAGTCTGAGACAGAACAAGTTCAAGGCTGGCTTATGCAAGTCAGTAACATCCTATTTCAAAATAAAATAAAATTGAAAAAAAGATTGGTAATGGAGCTCAGTGGTAAGGCATCTGCTGACATGCATGAGGCCCCAGGGTTCAATCTCCGGCACCACATACACAAAAGTTAAATTAAAAATTATTTCCCTAATGAAAATATACTGTGTCATTTTTACATTTCATCGTTGTTTATAGTACACAAAATTATGATTGAGGAGAAACAAATTTCAGAAAAAAATTATCCATCTCTTTATTTTCATTTCCTTCATTAATACAAGAAAATACATAGTACTCACCATTGAAGCAACCTGTCTCCCTGTGTCTCACAAAATGCCTGGAAGCCAGGAAAACTTCGATAAAAATCATACTCATCACCAAACTGTGGTAAGCCTCCAGATGCCTTCGTGACTGCCACCACTGATCCAAGAGCGAACTGTCAAAACCCCAAACATACAGCACATTTAAAACACAGATCAGCATTTGCTCAGCAAGTCCCTGTTGGAAGATCTGTCCATACAGCATGTTGTACCAGTACTAAAGAGAAGAGATAGGCATCCAATCTTATCTGCACAATGAATAACCCACTTGGTGCCACTCTACCCCCAGCCCTGTTCTGGGCCATGAGAATTCAATGAACCGAAGAATCCAGTTTGGAGCCAATGTTCCTGAAAGACTGGGGGGATGACAAAACACATACACATACAGGGGCTGGGAGGTAGCTCAGTGGTAGAAAGCCTGCCTAGCACTGTGAGGCCCAGGGTTCAATCCCTAGTACTGCAAAAACAAAACAACACAAAGCCATATAAAGTCATGTGTCCCTCGTGATTTCACCATCACACAGACCAGTATACACACACTAAGACAGCTGTGATGTCACTAGGCTACATTATCTTGTATGTGGACTCTTGCTGACCAAAGACAAAATAACTTATATTTAAAATGGACCAGGTTTGTTCTTGGCTCCACCATCTATGATTTGTGATTTTGGTTAAGCTATTCCACTTATTTGGACCTTGGTTTCCTCCTCAGAAAAATGGGCATAATAAAAAGTATCTACCCCACAAGTTGCTGTGAGGATTGAATGAGTTAATAAAATCACCTCCCACAGCACCTGGCACATCAATGCTATTATTACCCAAGTTCAAATCCATGTGCTCTATACAAGATTTACTGTGCTTCTGTGTTTTTACCTTGACGAACACCTAAAATCAATACAAGCGTCCACCAGACTCGCTCGGTGACCGATTTACAACTGGCTCAGTGGCTACCAAGCAGCACTCCACTGAAATTCTTGGGTAATGAGAAATGACCCATCACCGACAAAGTGGGCGGGCGCGTGTAGGCCAAATGTCAGCCTTCCGAGCTTTGTGTACAAACGTCTCCCGCCAGCCAAAAAATGAGAAAGGAGGTGGAAATCAAGTCGCGGTGTGGTAGTGGGTGGCGCCCGGGACCACACCTCGCGGTTCGGGGCCTGCTGGGGCCAGGAAGTGCAGTGGACGGTGCCGCAGGTCAGGCGGCGGAGCGGGGATCGCAGGCAGCGCCGCGGCTCGGAAAGGGCCACCCTAAGGCCTAAGCCTGGCCGGAGGTCGGCTCCCACTTGAGCCGCTACACAAGTAACTCCAAGGAGCCCCGCGTGCCCACAGGGGAGGGCCTCATAMTGCGCCCCGGCTCTGGGGCTCGGATGCTGGGGTGACGAGGCGGCACCTCCGAGGGGGCCGCGGGCCCGTGCGGAAGGCGCAGCGCGGCCGAGCCCGGGAGCCGGCCGGGGGCCCAGAGGCCCTCCCCGCGACAAGCAGCCGGCGCTCCGCCCCCGAACCGCGTGGGCTCACAGCGAGCGGCGTCCCAGGCGCCGGCGTTCGCGGCCCGGTCCCCATCGGGCTCCGCTGCGGCGCGCGGCTCTTCCCCAGGCCCGCGGCCTCCTCCCGCCCCAGACAGGGAGCGCGGCTGCCGGCGAACCCACCTTCACAAAGCTGTCCGCGTCCGGGAAGCCCGGCAGCACCATGTCACTGTCGGGCTTGGTGGCACCAGTGGCCGACGGGGACTTGGGCTCCCGGGGACTGGGGGGCGCCATCTTCCTGGCGCGCAAAGCTCTTCTCGCGAGAGTGCCGCTGACGCACGGCTAGCGCTCTACGCGTGCGCAGGGGCCCCGGTCCAGGAGCACGGGCTGGCGGGAGCTTGGACTGGAGTGTCAGGTCCTATAGCCTTACCGTGTATCATCCCAGCAAMCTTGTGATCCTGAGCGCGACCGGAGGACTCAGTTGTTGCATTTAAAGCCAGCTCCCGCCAACCTCTGGTTCCCTTCCGCCCTCACCGCGAGACCAGCGCCTGCAGTTACTCCCACCCCTGAGGCATCGTCTTTTCCTTTGGCCTTCACTCCTAACAGCCTGTACGACCTTGACTTACGATTGTTCAACTTAAGAACTTCCCCATTTTATGTCCGTATGAAATCACAGCCATACAACCATTCTGTTTTTCACTTTCAGTTACTAAAAAAATGACGAAATATCTTTCCATCTTTAAATTCTTCAATTTCTTTCTTTAGTGTTCTGTAGTTTGTAGAGGTCTTTCACCTCTTTTTAAAAATTGAGGTTTTTTTTTTTTTTTGGAGGCTATTGTGAATGAGGTA